GGGAGCGGGGGCTGCCTCAGCGCCTCCTCCGGCCCGGGCCAAGGCAGCCGCCACCCGGGCACGGGGTGTCAAAAGCCCCAAGCGGGCGGCGGGACGGCCGCTCGCATGCGCCGCGGGACATGAGAGCGAGGGGTGAGGCGGTCGCTGGGTGTCGGGACTCCCCCGGTCTGGGTTTTCTCGGGGCAGGCGGTAGCTTGGTCCCAGACTTACCTCTGCATGTGTGTAACGTACTTACCTCTTCAGTTGTGCGTTCGTCCTCGTTTTAATTAGTGCTGTGTGGACTTCCCAAGTGTTTCTGAACTGGTAACACCTACATTATTTGCAAGACACCTCTCATGTGATAAAAGAGACTCGGCAGACCTCAGTTTCATTCTCAAGAATAGATTGGTATTAATTGATGCAGTTTTGTTACACTAGAACAGCTTGGAACTTAGTGGGAAGGAACTACTTTGTTATAGTAATAATTAGGCAGATCACCAAAGATCTGAGTGTGCTGTAGTTTGTCTCATGAGATGTAATAGCAATATATCTCCGTATAAACACTCCACTACCCGAGCACGTTGTCCTACGTATTGAAAAAATCATCTTTGGGGTTAATGTCGGTACTTGTGACCTCGACAGCCGCCCCCTGTGCCTCACCTGTGGGAACCTTCTGCATTTCTGAAGGAAAAATGTGCGACAGTAACAGTTTGCAGAACTCCTTAATGCCGTGCAGCTCTTTTTAGAAAAATTTCTGTGTGACTCAAGCCCGAGTCTCATTAAAAGCCAGTGGGCCGTGCTTTTAGATCACTCGACAGCTTTTGTAATTCACCCTCCCAAATGTCAGCAGGGAGCAGATGGAGAGGTTGAAAGGAAGAGGTGGGAACCGTGCAAGGGTTGCGACTGCTTGGGAGATTAAGAGTGAAGGCTTAACAGTTAAACTCAGCTGGGCTTTCAGCTCTTCACTAGAGACCAGAAAATTCAGGTTTGATACAGCAGGGAAACCGAGTTAAAACAGTCTTTGAGAGAGTAATTCTGACTGAGAGCAGTAGTTGCTTTGTTAATTGCCCCCCGCTAATTAAATTAATTAGTGCTGTCCTGTGCAGCAGTGGAATGCATTAAACTCAGATTTCCAGTGCTGCAGCAGCTTCGAGTGATGTGGAGGCTGAGCTGAAAATAACAGCGAAGCGCTGAACTTTACAGCCCCGGTGCGGAGAGTGAGCCTGCCGAGCAGTGATTCTGTGTATGTGTGTATATAAATGTTTAATCTTTTATGGATTTAAGTCCACTAAAAATGTGGTGACATGTTTGAGATGTTTAATGGAGCCGTTTAAGCCCCAAGTACGGAGATGGGACGCATTTTAATTTTGCCTGGAATTTTGGTAATAAAAATGTAAGTTACATATGATTATTACTGACTTATGTATTTCATTGCAGTCTGAAATGATGTCAGTATTTCTTTAGCGGTTTCTAAGAGGCTATTGCTCATGAAATATTGAACCAATGACTCAAGCTATTCAATGATGATGAAAGGCCCAATCTAACATTTTATTGAACGTGGCATTTATGAAAAATGAAACTGCTCATTTCTATTATATAATCAATAGCACATTAAACCATTTATCATTAATTTGATTAAAGAATGCCGTTTTAGACCTATATGTTCCCCTGCCTTCTCAGCTGAGTTTAAATTTGATGTTTGAGAAAGCACAAGGCAGAAAAAAGAAAAAAGCTAATCTGTAGCTACCTTTACTGTCTTGGGACCAGCAAATTTGGCAGGTCCCTTTTGCCATTATCATTTAGAAACATTAACGTGAAATAATACAAACATGCAGAGAAAACATTTATTCTAAGCTGTCATGAAAAATTGCACGGATTTCTAGCATTGTTATGCAGATGAATGCATTTCTCTGATGAAAACCCAGACTTTCTTACCACAAGTTGGGAAAAGACGTTACTCTAAGAAACAAACTTTTAGAGCTTTTTATTTCCACGGTGAAAGCTTGGAAACTGAAAGCTTCAGTCACGGGAGAGCAATAAGAGTAAATGGAATCTGTGTCTTTAAATTCTGTTATCGAAAGCCATTGTCTGGGTGCCCCCTTCTCGCCCCCGGCGCTGTATTCCTGTCCTGTAACCCCTGGCTGAAATAAAAGGGAGGACATTTGCTTGAAGGAGGACACCAGGTTGCCGTCGTGTCATTTCGGTTGTCTTACTCTGCGTGTTTTTGTCCTGCTTCCTCTGCGGGATGTACCCGGCAGTCGGCAGCTCCAGGGCGCGCCCGCGCTACCTGCGCCTTGGGGGACGCTGGGGTTGGCGCTGGCAGCTGCACGTCTAAGGAGGTGTTAGCCAGGCTCCGAGGAATAGACGGCGGCTGCAGCGTAGGGAAAGGTACCGGGGCTGTCTGGAGGCAAAGCCCGATATCGCTGTGAGGTTCTCTCCTGGGAGACGGTAATGGAGGGAGCGGGGCTTTACTCCATCGATTCGGAAAGAGCCATCCAAACTGCCTCCAGCTCGGGTCTTTGGCACCAGGCCAGATGCCGTCTGCAATTCCAGAGTGGTTGTGGTAAAGAGAAGGACTCTTTTTTTTCTTTTTTTTTCCTTGATGCATTTAGTGACGCGCTGCCCTGGTTATCCATCGGCTGCAGGTGGATGATGCACCTTCCTCCTTCCTGACCGCCCACAGGGCCCTCACCGGGGCGGAGGGCGGGTGCTAGGGAGCCCGGCTGCAGGTTTACATTTCTTACCTTTGCTGCTTTAGAAAGCCCATGCTTTTTGAGAGTTCTAGTATCTGCTTGAGGGCTTAAAATTGAAATATGGGTAGAATTTTGTGTCCGTCTCTGGATTTAAGTGTTTTTGTTCTGAGGTCACTTTATTTTTTCTTGCTCTTCTGCACTGAATTGAGGAGAAAGTAGTTGCCTAATGAAAATAATGTACAAACACAGATTGCTTGGGTGTTTTGTGGGGCTTTTTACTTAACTTTCTATCCCTAGGTGTACACTGGTGACTTGTTGCACTATAAACAGTGTGGAAAAAAACTGTTGTGCATAATTGAACATGTTATTAACTTATGTAATGAAACGCAAGTCCGTTCTTGATTTTTGTATAAGTAAAAATAAGTAATAGCTGATGGACTTCTCTTTTAGGGCTGGTCTTGAGAATGGTCTTTTCTAAATAGCATTGGTTGTGCTTTAATTAATTTTTACTGCTTTTCACAGGCCTCTCAGGAAGAGCTAAAAGCTGCCTACCGCCGGCTGTGTATGCTCTACCACCCCGACAAGCACAGAGACCCGGAGCTCAAAACACAGGCTGAGCGGCTCTTTAACCTTGTTCACCAAGCTTATGAAGGTCAGTGGAAGTCTGAAGTTTGCAGAAATGGACTTCAGGGAGTTTCTAGGAGGGCCGTGTCTTTGTGCTTTTTGGAGAAGATCTATATTATCACAAAGTAGTCATTAAATTTGCTGACACTTAGTGATGCTTTGTGTCCTGTAAATCAGAGGAGTGAGGCAGTATGCATGAACGAGATGGGGAGTCTTATTTCCTGCATGTTGTAAATAATCTTATTCCCACTTCCCTTACCTCTGAAGAGACTCTCCCGTGAGAGCCTGAAGACTGAAAACCTTCAGACAGAAAGGCAGTTTCATACTTTACTTTTGAACTGATGCATCCTGAGTTCCTTTTCTCTACCACCTCGTTGTGGTCCCCATTGTTTTTCAGCAAGTTTTTCCATGCCCTAAGAGTGATTTGTTAGAATTAACTGGCAGCGTTTTGCAGTGTGGTAAGAGGCACCTGGAGTGCAGGTGGGTTAGAAGCTGGTAGGACTCTTCTGCATTAAAAAAATGGTGCACCAAACTGTCTGCCCTGCCCTGCAGCCTGAAGAGAAACTAAAGTAACATGGTGAATAAATATTCCTCTATTAAACTGAACTTTAAAACTTAGGTGAGCTAAAGAAATTTTTTTTACTCTCATGTTTTCTGAATGCTAAGCATTTGTCTCTTCCAGTTGGAGTCTTTTCCACTGTCTCTAGTTAGGTGTTCGGCCATATGGGGGAGAACAGTGAAGGTCTTACCCTGATGACATGGGAATAAAAACTCAGGATGCTTCAGTAATTTCATTTGAGTGATTTGGTGTTACCTTAGAGGCACCTTTCCCTTTGAATTCTGAGGCTTTGCATGGCTCTGTCATGGACGTGTAAACTGTTGCTCCTTTAGTACCAAATGGGAGCGTAATACTTTACAAAGAAAAACTCTGACAACTTGAAAATAAGCCACCCCATCTCCTGCCTATTTTCCCACTGTCCTCTTCCATTTCTTAATACCACACAACAAAATATTTTATTTTATCCAAATTTATAAACTATAGTATCTTGCCTTTATCAAGTTCAGTAATCTTCAGGTAGTTCAGATCAAAGCTCAGTTACTGACATAAGCCTCTTCTTGCCTTAATATACACACCCAGCTTGCTCAAGACTCATCAGTTCCCCCATGGTCAAAAATGTAGGTGATAATGTAAGTGTGGTCTTGGAACCCTGTGGGAAAAATACTGATGATTTCTTTTTTTTTTAAGGGAGGGTGTGGTATGAGGGATTATGCATTTAAATCTGTCTGACATTTTAGAGATTCCTCTTAATTCGACATGCAGTCTTTTTGCAAAGTAACTGTTGTTCTGCAGTCTCCTGGTGTATTGTATTTTCTCCATTGTGTTGGGTGACTTTTTGGGAGATTCACATTCTACAAGCAGCTTTGCAGTTACCCTGTGGTTGATGTTTGGCGAGGCATGAACTGTCTCTTGGAAACTGCTTTGTGGGTGCTTGGCACGTCCCACGTGTGTGGACTGGGTGGGAAAGGATCAGCGGGCAGGGAGTGAAGCTGTGAAAGCTAGACAGAGGTAGGTGTCATTCCACCTCAAAGCTTCCAGGATTTAGCTATCGCTAAATTTCTAATAATCCCACTGATTGTTAGAGGGTTTATGTCACCCTCCAGTCGAAGACAGCAATACTGAAAACCCTGCTGCTTGTACAGTTAGTCTGCATGTCTTTTTATGCTTCTTGATTTTAAAAGTATGTGGACAGGGGGGGAAGGAATTTGCTGAGGGAAAGAGTCAGTGTGTCCTGTTAATGTAGCAGGTGAAAATGTTCAAGGGAGATAATGTAAAAATTGGATGCAGCTGTAGAACAACGTGTTTCCAGGATCTGTGCTTGAACTCCACATAGCACTAGTGTGTTGGTCTGAGATTCAGGAAGGCCGAAGACTGAGTTCTCTTCTCTCTTTTGATTTTAACTTGCAGTGCTTAGTGATCCACAGACCAGAGCCATCTATGACATATACGGGAGGAGAGGACTGGAAATGGAAGGATGGGAGGTGAGAGAAATTTAGCACCTTATGGCCAGTGGAATTGACTAAACCCACCTTTATCTGACACTCTTGTTCCATTGAGCTGCACTGACACCTTGATGGTAATAAATGTCTGTTTGTTGGAAGGCATCTTTGTTTAGTTATTTCTTTCTCTGCTGAAACACCGTGATGGATTTTCAAAGAATACTTGGGTTTTTCGCTTGACAAGAGAACAATAAACCTGACATTCAGAGTTCCCTAATAGGATATTACCGTGACAGGCAACATCCTTGTCGGAGACAAATGCGTCATTATTGTCCATCTAGTCTCATCTTTTTCATCTGAAACTTTATCAGCATCAGCTAGCCTCCGAGCTTGAAATTGCTTTTTCTTTCTGTGCTTTTTGGGGTGGTTGTTTTGGGCTTTGAAAGAGCATTTGTCCATTTGTGGCTTTCCTGTTGATAAGTCCCCTTGGTAGCCTCTGCCAGTCTGAGCTGATTGCACTGCGCTGCTGGCTGCAGAACCACGTTATATTGGGTCAGGGCAGTACCAAGGTCAAGCTTGGAGTTAATAGCAAGAGATGTGGAGCAGTGGCAGTGTGTGACAGGCATTTTGGAGCTGCTCTAGCAGACGTGATCTTATTTTGAAAAGCCAAATCCAATACACTTCCTATGCATGCCTAAAGCCATACCCGTTTAAAACCCTCATTCCCTGAGCTGTCTAAAGTCAGCAGATGTGAATCGGCATAGCCTAAAATCACAAAACTCTCATGTAATCAGTTTACCTCGAGCCAGAAACTTTCAGTTGTTTTCATTTTTGTGTCTACACCTAGTAGAGAAGTTAATGGGTAGCTGTTGGTAATGGCTTTGCTGCATCATCTTGTACTTGTGGTTTGAAAGTTCTTTGCCTGGTTTTGTCAAGGGAATATAAATAACCAGACCATGTTCCCTTCTCTCAAAGCACAGGGGTCTCTCCTGTCTGCCATTTGATCTGGCCCAGCTGTTTGCCTCCAAACTCTGCATACTGAAATCCAGGCAGAGGGGCTCACAGCAGCAGCAGGGGCAGCACGTTGGTGCGTGCCAGGTCAGGGGCCTCCATCCCTTCGGCAGAGCAGCACCCTGAACATCCTCCTCCTGCTGACCTTCTGGGCTTAATTTCTTTCCGAGCAGGTTGTGGAGAGGAAGAGAACTCCAGCTGAAATCAGGGAAGAATTTGAGCGTTTGCAGAGAGAGAGGGAAGAGAGAAGGCTGCAGCAGCGAACTAATCCAAAGGTAAGCAAAGACTTCATCCTAGTCTCAAGAGTGAATCCGTAAATTATTATGGAAATAATGAGCCTGGATGAGGGGCTACCGTAAACAGCCTCTTGGTTATCTGCACTTGGTGAGTCGCTTTTCGTTTTTTGAATATGCAGTTTCTCTGGACAATGTAGGGAAAAGAGCTAATTCTTTGAACAGTAATCCTCTACTGAAAGTTCTTCTTTTCACTGAAACATGGAGGAGCAAAATACCTGTTTCAGCAATTTCCGAGAACAGGCCTAACACTGCAGTGTTTATGATTTCTGTCCAAGTATTCCAAATAAAACGAAACTCCCTGCAGTTACCTGACAGGTTTTCCCTTTGACACCACTGTAGCGTCACAACACCACGGGAGATATTCTAGCACAGCTTTGAAGCTGATGACAAATGTGAGGCAGGTCCCAAACTGGCCGGGTGGCTGCGGCACAGCGAGCAAAATCACCCGGAACAGGTTTGGGGTCTGGCAGCTTCCACGGTGGGAGCCTGTTCTGGGAGGGCCTGGCGGCACGCTCGGTGGAAGTCACCGTGTGCCCCCTTCCCGGCTCGGTCTGGTTGAGCAGCCGTAACCTGACACAGAAGGACCCACCTTGCAGCTGAAACTTGGCTGTTGGGAGTTGGTCGAGGACACCGTGTGGAGGACGATGTTCTCGCGGTAGGGTTGGGCTGGCAGGGGGAGGTGGAAATGACAATTGACTGTGGCTTTCTGTGTCACCTGCTGCGACTGGCATGCACCGAGGGTTCAGAGTGCTGATGGCCCTGCTGGCGCTGCGCCTGCTGAGCACGCTAGGCAAACCCGGGCTCGTCAGGATTGGCCCTGACTGAGGTTTCAGTGCTTGCTGAATCACAAAAATCTTGGTTCTTGTGCAGCGAATAACGTTATCCGAGATCTGCATCTACACTCACCAAATGTATTCATACTTTGGTTTGCCTGTATCTGTATTTTTCTTGGGGTTTTTTGCTTAAGCTATCAGGAACCATTTTATACCTATTTTTTAAACGTGATGAAAACCCATTTCTTACCTGCAGTACAGAAATGGTCCATTGTGGGGGAGCCTTAATTTTCCTTTCTCCACCCCAAGGTAACCATGCGGATATTTATGTAGACAGACTTTCTCCATCTCGAAAAACTAAACTGTAATGAGACATCAGTTCTTTTTTTTTTTTTATTTATAAGCGCTTCTATTCATGGTGGAAGACTGGGTATCCCCAGAGCTCTCACTGGAGGCTTGCAGTCAACACAGATTCTGCATCCTGGATCACAGGTGGCTTTGGTCTCCTGTGTCGTGTGTTCATGCGTAGACTTCTAAGGTGTTGCAGTGCAACTTGCATAACCCAAGAAACAAACTATGAGTTGGTTAACTGTTACTACCATTGAAGGTTGCTGGTGTTTTCTTGGTCAGCAGTTTAAAATCAGGATGTTTTCTGAGTGGACACAAGTGTGAGTACAGCAATGCCTAGGGCTGTGCCAGACAAACATCCATCTGAGACGACCTGTGAGGTTCTGAGATGTTCCCCTTGGCACAGACGTTGGATCTTGGACCCAGCAGATCACCGGGCTGCTGTGGGCAGTGCTCGGGTGCGAAGAACTTGTTTGTACTGGGAGGGTAAATAAGCGTAAGGTGTTCCGTGAGTATCTGCTGACAAGGCTGTTCCAGGCAGGAGGGGATTTCTGGATGCCACAAAACGGCCGGTCGAACTGGCGATGGGGGTGGTGGGAGTCAGGTGTTCTCGGGGAGGGACGTGGTTATCTCCACCTCGTGCTTCTCTGACTTCAGGAATTTGACATTTTCTCTGGGCGCCTCGCTGTGGCTTTGAGTAGTAAAAAGTGGAGCTGCTTTGTGAGCCTCAGCCTCTGTGTCCTGCGATAAAATTAGCCATCTGGGTGTTTACAGCAATTGCTGATTGGCAGCCTATAGAAATGTCTCTCCAGGCAGTGTTCCTGTGGAATTAGGTAGCGCAGCTGTGATCATTTCATACGCGAACGCAAGTTATTTTAAAATCTCCAACATTTTGTCAGTTCTATAAAATGGTTCCAGCAAAATAAAGCATTTTAACCAGAAATGTTGAGCAATAACCAGATGTAGGCAATTTGGCAGGTTTCGAATTGAGTCTATTATTTGCTTTTAGAGCTTTGTTTTTGCTTTCAGAGATGTGCAGAAGGGTTGAAAAGTTCATTACTTGATCTGAGAAGAACCGTTTCCTGTTAGGAGAAATTAAATCCTGTTATTTTCCTGCTGTGGAAGGTCAATATCTAAGATATGCAGGTCCCTTAAGGCTCAATCTGGCACAGCTTCCATATGTCACCTTCCAAAAGGTAAATCCCTAAGAAGAAAGGTGAGGCGGGGTATATTCTTCTCTGGCACCCCTCTGAATTCCATCAGTAAGTCTGTTTGTATTCGCAGGATGGCAGATAAAGGTGATTTTAAAAGCTGGTACCTGATAGCAGTTCCTCTGGTTCTGTGGTGCCGTTCCCCAGGTTCCTGCCCCGCTGAGTTGGTGTGTTCTGCAGCTCGTCGTGAGCGGACACTGCCACCCCTGAGCAGAGCTTTCCCCTCCTCCCCTGCTGCTCTCGCTTTGGGGAGGACGTTTTCATTTCAGCGGTCTGAGCAGGTGGCTGGTGGGGAGCGGCGAGCAGCAGTGGGCCCCTCTCCATTATCCGGTGGCATAGGGGCTGCCGTCGTTCTCTGGGAATATTTTTAACTTTACCATCTGCTGCTTTTCCTGTGCTTGTGCCCGAGCCAGTTTCCTTGCCAGGATCTATAGACCTCTGAGGGTGACTTCACCTGCTTGGCGGGGGGTGAAATGGCCGCGCGGAGTCCACCGCTCGCCACTGCGGAGGAGCCAGGGAGGGATCGGGGACGGCCCTTTCCTCTTACTGGCTCTTGGGGATTTTCATGGGTCGGTTCAGGTGGTTTCCTTTTTCTCATTGGGAGGGGTATTTTTTTCATAAAATTCGTAGGTGTGAAAAAGGGATTCCTAAAATTTTGAGTGTGATTGAAAGAAAGGGGGTGTGATGAATTACAGGAATGTGTGAGGACCTTGGTGCCTCTTTACAAAGGGACAAGCATTGCAGTACGAAGAAACATACTATACTAAGATGTTTTCTGGTGGGTTTTTCCAGTGCAAATTGTTGAGAAAGCTTTACTGCTACTTATATTCTGGCCTGAGTTGAAAACACACAATTTTCTGTCTTTTTGCCATTCAAATTCTGCACGCATGCTACTCAGCATGATACCCCTTGTTTAAACTCGGAATTTAGAGTTGCAGTCTGGCAAAGGTTCTGCACTGAACGTGGTGCTCCCCGTGGAAAACCATTCCTTCCATCCTGCCTCTCTTACCAAAGGTCTTGGGCTTTACACTTCCTTTAATTGAACAGCATCAGGGGAAAATGGAAATAGCTCTCTCTTCTGTTAAATGCTCGCCTGTATTTAGACACGTTTGACTGGTCACTCTGGAGAGTGTTTGGTGGGATTTCATCGAGTGGAGTTGGCATTTTCTGTTTCTCCTTGTCTGTTGTAGCCCCCCCTTTCCCGAGGGCTGGAGAGCAGTGCAGGCTGGTGCCACATCTCCGCAATTGGTGGTTTTGCCTTGCTTCACCCTTACTTTGGCCTCGTTTCAAGGAGCAGCACAATATAGGAGAGGGCTGAAACTGGAGAGGCTGTAGCGTCCAGAGGGCAGAGCCCTTGAAGGTGACTTTGCAGATGGTTCCTGAAAAGTCGCCTTGTGCGGAAAGGGCAGGAGCTCGTCCTTGGTGCTGCCATGGACAGGACGACGAGCGGAATTGCCAGCATGCCCAGAGCCATCTGTAACGGTTGGGGCACAGCTCCTGTCCCAGAGTTCTGGAGATAATGGCACTTTTCTGTCTTAAATATTTACTGAATTTTTGCTGCTAAGAAATCAGAAAATAAACACTGAGGAGAATCTCCGCAGCAAAGAAATAGTTGGGAGCCAAACCAGAGCAAAGTTCTGAGTCCTGTCAAACTCTGCTATTTTCCTGTATTTATGATTCAGCATTTGATTAGGCTGGAGTGAGCAAGGGAAAATGCTCGCTCAGATTGAAATCAGAATTTATTCCATCCATACTTGGACTCTCTGAGTGGTTTTATACCTACCCGGCTATTGAGTTTCTTGATACAAATTGCTCAGAGTTCATCCTGTGCTTGTGCACAAAGGGGTTTTTTTATTGCAGCTGGTACATTTGACATGCGCTGGAATGCTGTTTAATAGGTCTGTAGGGAAGGTTTCCAAAGCCTCTTGAAGTTATATGACCCAGACGAGGATCTAATCGTGCCCTTTTCAAATAAACCCACTCTTGCAGTTAGTCTGAGTGAGCACAGCAGCAGGTAGCCAGACTATTTAGCTGTGGCCTAGTTTTTTGTAGGAATAAGCTTTTCTATGGTCTGAGAAAGGAAATATTTACCCCTTGCTAAAAGCCTTTGTCAAGCATTCTTTCTGATTACAAGATACACACTATGAAGAAGAAAACAAAATTTTTGACTAACAAGGTCAACTACAGGTGAATGATGCAGCTCAAAACTAAGTTGTTTCAGATAACTCATAAGAAGAAAGCATTTAGAGGATTTCTGGCCAAGATCCACTGAAGAAAATCAATTTCTGAAATACATTATTTCAACTTTAAAATACTGACAGAGCAGAATCAGTTGTGGGGGAAGAAGAAACCTGCTGTGTAGAAGTGTTCTACCTACCTCTGTAATGTGTCACGGTAGCAAAATTACCTATAGTGTTACTAGTTGCATTCCTGCTGAAAAACTGTTGAAAATCCAGTTCATTTTGTGATTTATATTGCTGTTTTAGAATATTGTAATTGTTCGTTTTTGTTTGAGTTGAATCTAAGAAATGCATTTTAGGGTGGAAAGGGTAATTGCAGAACAAGAAAAAAAATGCAAAAAACCGTAATGGTGTAGAAGGATGGTTTAACGATTTGGCCTGTGTGTGTTAACGCCACGTACTTGTTTCACTTGTCATTCCTTAGGGAACCATTAGTGTTGGAATAGATGCCACTGACCTCTTCGATCGTTATGACGAAGAATACGAAGATGTGCCTGGGAGCAGCTTTCCCCAGATCGAGATAAACAAGATGCACATTTCTCAGTCCATCGAGGTGAGGGAGCGGCCGCTGCCGGTGGAGCGGGGCTGGACGGGCGAGGCGCTGCCGAGCGAAGCGGCGGGAAATGAAACACGGCTCGGGGGGCTCTCGCCGGTCCCGGCAGGGCCGCGTGTCGCCCGTACGGCGGTGAGCGGTCTGCAGGCTGCAGCAGTCCTGCCTCCCTGCTAGCACAGCTGAGCACAGGACTCTGGCTCTCTCTGAACATCGAGTATGAACATCATTCATTTCATGTATGAACAATGAACACAACAGGCGCCCAGTCGTGAGGATGGGGATAAGAAGCAGGGGGAGTGTTTCCTCTGTTCCAGAGAGTTGAAGAAATTTAGTCTGTGAGAAGGGTTTGCAGCTCAGGGTCAGGGCTTGAAGGCGGAACATTAAAGGTGTCACAGATGTCTGGTACTGTAAGAATTACCTCACTTTTTGCCGTACTTGATCTCTGACCACAAAATCTAGAGCACGTGTGGCCATGTCTGGTTCAAACACCCGGGCCCGGTGGGTGACGGAGTCAGCTGGAGTGTTACCTGGCTCTGCACTTACACTCTCTGCAGTCGTGACTATGTCCTTCAGGATACACATTAAATGTGCCAATTGGGATCAGAGTAATTAGTCATGATATTCCTTTTTCAGGCACCGCTGACTGCCACGGACACAGCAATACTGTCTGGTAACCTTTCCACCCAGAATGGGAATGGAGGTGGATCAATTAATTTTGCTGTCAGACGAGTGACATCTGCCAAGGGATGGGGAGAGGTGAGCGCACGAGCCCTTACACACTTTTTCCTCCAGTCTGTTTCAGGCTGCTTGGACAAGGCACCTAATGTTTATTTACTTCAGGGAATTTTAGCTCTGTTTCATCTCTCATTTTCTACGTCCTGTAGAATATAGAAAAAGGGATTTATAAAGGAATTTGAGAAAAAGGGAAGGCCAAACCTTGTTTTTTTCTAATTTTTTTTCCCCCTTTCCATTTGGCTGAGCATTTTGGACTGACTTGTGCTGAGAGAATCGTTACCGGTTGTCTCTAACTGTTCAGATTTCCTGTCTGAAGGCTCTTGGGTGCCTTCCAGTGTTGTGAGCATGCACCTCTGGGCAGTGTGACAGTTTGCCTTCACTTCAAAAACTGCTCTGCTCCCAAGGAAGAAGGGCGAAGATAGTTTGACTCCCAGGGAGATGAGATCGAAGGAGCCGGCAGGTCCCACGCTACCCCCTGCAAGCTGTGCCTCGCTAGACCGGTGGCTTTGTTCAGGATGTTCATGGCATCGCTGCCACGGCTGTGGGGCTGTCCTCGGAAGGGCTGTCACCCTCGGAGGGCAGCAGCCAAGCCTTGCTGTTTGCCGTCACGGGGCTGCAGTGGAGATGTCCTCTCCATTTTCCCTGGAGCAACCAGAGCAGGTGCCAGTGGCAGCCTGTAGCACTACAAAAGTGGCTTTGTTTTTCCCATGAGGACCTGCTCAGTGAGACTCCTCTTATTCTGAATGCACAGCTAGTGGAAAAGAGAGGATGCTGAAATATGTGGTGAACGTTACTCAGATGTTTAAAATGTCTGTGATGTGAATGACGCTTGTGAAGGACTTTGTCACTGTTGGATGTTTTATTCTAACAATTTGGCATTGTGCATTTAAACAGTTGGAGTTTGGAGCGGGAGACCTTCAGGGACCTCTCTTCGGTCTGAAGATATTCCGTAATCTTACACCAAGATGGTAAATATTAAAAAAATGGACTTAATGATTAATATTCCATGCTAAGGAAAGAAACAGCTTGAATTCTCTTCCATGTTAATTCTGGATTTGTTTTCTATCCTACAAAATAAGGTATTTCTTTAGACTTAAGGTCATACTTTAGGACTGATCAGAGCGTTTCTATTCTTTTTGTGTGTCAGTGTCCTCCATTTTCATACTTCCAGTTTAAGGAAGGTTTGTGTTCCACATCCTTAGATTTGTATTTGATCTTGTCATGAACTGTGATGTTTGAGGTGTGATCTTACAATCAGCAACAGGGGTTTGCTCTGGGAGCAGAACAAAAAACTGTGGAGCTCTTCTGGGGCTTCCATGTGTGAGACGAGTTTCTGACAGCAAAAGAGGAGCCGATACGTGAATTCAGGGAAATAATGCTGAATTTGCCACTAGTGTGGGGTCTGTTTGCAAATGAATAGAGGTCTCTGGTTGCAAGGGAGAGTACAAGGTAGGGGCTGTAATTGAAGACATGTTAGAGCATTGTAGGTGCCAGACTTCCTTCTTTTTATGTTTTCTAGTTCAGTAAATATGCCATTCCTCAGAGCTTACCCAGGGACCTTGTTCCCCGTAGAGTCCTTTAATGCTGGTTTTTGGAGCTGATGCTTGAGGGTTATTAAATTGCAGAGCTGCTATCTTCTACCAGCCGTGTGCTGCCTCTGCAGAAGGCCAGGCCTGTATCCACCCAGGGTGGGAAGCCTAGAGGCTGAAGAGCAGCCTGCTGTGCTGGCTGCAGCGGTGGGGCACAGAGGAGTGTACTGGGGCGTGCGCCTGCTCTTCTGGGTGCTGCTGTGGTCAGGACAGTCTAAATTAGCTTTGAGTTTTTCCCGAAACCCTCAGGCAATGTCAGGCTCTTGGCAGGATAGTCTCTGCGTGTTCACCGAGGCTGCTGGGCAAGAAGGGGTCTGGGGCCGTCTGGGAGTCTGTGTTCTATCACTGATGAAGCTTTCCTCATTCCTCCTAGTTTCATCACTACAAACTGTGCCCTGCAGTTCTCTTCCCGTGGGGTCCGCCCCGGCCTCACCACGGTCCTGGCCCGCAACCTCGACAAGAACACAATGGGGTACCTGCAGTGGCGGTGGGGCATCCAGTCAGCCATGAACACGAGTATCGTCCGGGATACAAAAACCAGCCATTTCACCGTGGCGCTACAGGTGAGTGCCCTGCCCCCGGGGCCGGGGCAGCGATGCCCCCCGGCAGGGAAGTGCCTCGGCTGCTCTTCCCAGCGGCGTTTTGGCGTGGGACCAGAGGGCAACGGAGCGGCTGGTGCTGCCTCGTACCAACACGCAGCGTAGGTCAGCGGCTGCAGCTGGGGGAGCGCGACGCTCCGCAGCCACCCGCGTCCCACCCAGCATGGGTCAGCTCAGCTGAGGGCCGGGCACGCGGCAGAGCCTGCAGAGAGTGCGGGCTGCCACCAGGACCTGGCAGGCTTTGCTGTGTCTTCTGTGCCTTGAAGGATAAGGAAGGACATGTGGGGGGACGTTCAGCGGTGGCCGAGGGTATGTTTTCATACATTTGTGCCTCTTGTATTTCAGCTGGGAATCCCCCATTCTTTCATGATGGTCAGTTATCAGCATAAGTTTCAGGATGAGGATCAAACACGAGTGAAAGGTTCTCTCAAGTAAGTGTGCAAGAGGAAATTCACATTGCTTCTGGCCTGAAGAATCTGTCCTCTCCTGCTGTTGTAGGCTTCCAGGTTCCACACAAATCAAACGCTTCTGTGGTCTTTGGGAACCTGTTTTTCATTCATTAAACCTGGTAAATCTGAAGTGAATGTCTTGGAGGCTTAGATCTGTGTGCCTCCTCGAATACAGTACTTGTGTGTGATATCTCTGTATCATCACCGGGGAGAAAGCCAGAAGTTCTTGTAGCCTGTTTGCTGCTTTACAAGCTGAGAAGGCTTATCTCATCTTGTAGATATGCAGTGAATCTTCCAGTAGCCAACATCTGCTGCAGACAGGTGTATTTCCATGTTTAACTTGTTGGGGAATCACAGGATTCAGTAAAGAGAAATTCAAGAGTCTTCCCTGTCTTACCAGTTTTTGGTTCTGTCGTTCCAGGGCGGGTTTCTTTGGGACCATAGTGGAGTACGGAGCAGAAAGGAAGATTTCCAGACACAGCATTTTAGGAGCCACTGTCAGCGTTGGTGTTCCCCAAGGAGTGTCTCTGAAAATCAAGTCAGTTCAAGCTTACAACTCTAGGTTGCAGAGGCTGACTGTAACCTGCACTGTTGTGTCCAGTGCTGGGGTGGGCAGGCCCCAGTCTCGGGGCAGTACAGGTGTACTGGTGCAGCCCTGTGAGGGGCTGCGGCTGCCCTCGCCTCAACCCGAGCGGTGCCCGCGGGGAGCGCTGTGCGCCTGCCAGGGTGGTGGTCTGAGCCTGGGCACCTCCCTCGGGACGTGTCGGTGGGTGCACCAGAATGTTCTGAAAATACAGCCCGAGGGAAGGTTTGGGGCGTGACGGTAGGCTGATGGAAGATGTCCGAAATGTCTGTAGTAGAGATGTATTTAGCTGCCTTCTGGTTTATAACAGTGAACACGAGTACACGCTTGAATTAGGGAGTCGCCGTTAAGGAGGATCGGTGATGAGCAGAGATGCAGTTCCCAAAGGGCGGCACTCGAGTGCATTTGTAACGGGGGCCAGCAGAGGGCAGGCCGCATGCAGAAAGTAAAGACCACCTCTGTCCCAGGAAAACTAATGTTTTCCAAAATAAAGGTGGTTATAAACATCAGAAGAATATTTATGTACTCCTTCCTTGAAGGCACACGCTTGTGTTGTGGACATAAACCTTCTCTAAGCGTTTTCTCTTTATGATGATGCCGGTCCCTTTCCCTGGTGAAATTAATGACCAAGTAAATTCTCCTAAGATTACAAAACCACTTTAGAATGGTCAGGTGTTACCACAGGAGATGTCTGCTACATAAAAGTCTGCCTGTGGGTGGTGTCATCTGTCTGTCTTACCATCACCTTGATTTGCTTTGTGAGATTTTCACCTTTTTGAGCTCATCATTCATCTCTCCTTTGGTTCAGCAGTTGTTGAGCAGCGCAGGCTGCTGCTAAAGATACTTAATCACACACATTAAACTCTGCGTCTCCTCTCACCTGTCACTCTGGTTTTTTTGCTCCAGGTTGAATAGGGCTAGCCAGACCTACTTCTTCCCTGTCCACCTGACAGATCAGCTGCTTCCCAGTGCTGTATTCTATGCCACCGTGGGACCTCTAGTTATCTACTTCGCCATGCATCGCCTGATCATCAAACCCTACCTCAGGGCACAGAAGGAGAGGTGAGCTCAGGGGATGGTTTTAAACTCGAGGTTGGGGCGTCCCACTCGAGTGCTTCTGGGAGCCTGGCTGAGCCCTGTGCTTCACTGCACCTTCAGAACTGTTGAGTTCTGGGAGCCTACAAATATATCGAAAGGTGGGGAAGAACCTCGAAACTGAGCGTGTTTGTGTGGGGCTGTGGCTCGGCTGTTACAGGGAGTGGGGGGGAGCTCAGCCGCTCTGGGCAGGTCCCAGACCTGACCTGCTGGTGACTTCCTTGTGCCAGGGAGCTGGAGAAGCAAAGGGAGAGCACAGCCAGCGATGTCCTTCAGAAGAAGCAGGAGGCTGAAGCTGCGGTAAGTGTTCCTCGTAACTAAGTCCCCTTGGTTAAAGAATCTGGTTTTGCTCTGCTTTCCTCTTTCGGACACAGCGTCTGACACTGCTTGATTTCTGCTCTGCCCCTTGCGTTGTGACAGGTCCGGTTAATGCAGGAGTCTGTCCGGAGGATAATTGAAGCTGAGGAAGCCAGAATGGGTAAAAATTACAACACCGTTTACTTCTCCCATAAATCTGGAGAGAGGAAGGAGCAGTGCAGAGGCTGGGTGGCTGAGGGGGAGGAACGCAAACGTGGTGTCTTCATTTCCACTCCTAACGAAGCACAGCATCATTGCTGTTGCATGTGCAGTGGGCAAGTTCTGTTATAATTCGGGTTCTGGTGCCTGAGCTTAGGGATCCACTGAATGTTCTCTTGGGACGTGCTGTGAGGTGGGTCGGCAGGCTGAAGACAGCAGCCTGGATTCACCTCTCCACAGGAGCACGGTGTGTGTATATAAATACCTGCAAAAGACAGGCTGAAGTTTAGGTTTCGCTCATCTCTAGCTTACACAGTCATACTGGGAATCTGATTTCTGATGTTTGCTAGCAATTTCACAGAGAATGTTCTAGAGTGAACTGACATCACTTGGACTGTCACATCAGCATGGCATTGAGGTCAGATCATTCTGTCCTAGTGCTGGGGATTGCTAACAAACACCCGGGTGGAAATGTTCTGTCTTGAGAAGCATGGGTCCAGGCAAGGAGCATTTACATATCATTGAAAGTGGCAGGAATTGCCAGGATGGCCTTTTCCCCAGTGTCTGCCTGGCCGTTGGTGGGAAGCCTCTCCTCACATACGTGATTTCCTGTAAAATGCAGGTTTGATTGTGGTGAACGCCTGGTATGGGAAGTTTGTTAACGACAACAGCAGAAAGAATGAGAAGGTGAAGGTAATAGATGTGACTGTGCCCCTGCAGTGCTTGGTGAAAGACTCTAAACTCATCCTAACAGAGGCGTCCAAGGTACGTAGCTGTCTGTCAAAGCCCAGGCTCAGGCCCGTGAATGTGTGACTCAGAATCTGGGTTGAACCACGTGCTGCAGTGGTTTAACCCCGACCACAGCCCAACACCCCGCAGCCCCCTACCCCCGGGGAACAGGGGAGAGAGTTGGAGTGTTAAGGAGACTCATAAGGTGAGATAAAAACAATTTAATAATTGAAGTAAACTAAAATAATGGTCATAATAGAAAGTATAGATGGGTAATGCACAGTGCGATGGCTCGCCACGGGCTGACTAACACCCGGCCCGTTCCCAGCCAGCGATCCCAGAGAGGAGAATCCGGAAACCTCAATCCCAGAGCGAGAGAGAGCTTCCTGATCAGCCCTTATCTATACACAGGACACGACGTTAGATGATATGGAATATTCCCTCAGCCAGTTTGGGTCCTTTGTTTTGGCTGTGCTCCCCGACAGCTTCTTCTGTACCTGTGTGCTGGCAGGACACGAGGAGCTGAGAAGTCCTTGATTTCTTAGCAACCACCAAAAACATCAGTGTGTTATCAACATTCTTCCCATATCAAATCCCGTGCGGAATCCAAAACACAGCACTAATCTGGCTGCTAAGAAGGGAGGAAAAAAAAATAAGCCCTAACCCAGCCAAACCCAGGCCAGCTGTCCTGCCAGGGGATTTCTGCAGCGTGCTGGAGGCTGGTGCCTGGGGATCAGCTTACAGGAGCCGTTGACATAGCCAGTGTTACGGCGCATCGGCCCCTCTGGGCGCCGCCGGCCAAGGAAACTGCGTTTGCAGCGCGGGGCTGAGCGTGTCGCAGCCCCTGGGCTGTACTCGGGCGCTTCCCGGCCCCCGACACGCTCCCCCCTGCAGTTGGGACTTGCCCCTGCGGGAGTGACTCCTGGCCCTCTCCTCTCTCTGCTTCAGCAGCAGCGAAGCCCCGCAGCCAGTCACTGGCCTCTCCCGCTCCCAGTGCGCTGGGAGGGCAACCGGGGGGGAAAGTGGAACTCAGATAAGTTGAGATAAGGGTGGTTCGATAACTAAACTAAAATATAGTAACAGTAATAAGTTGTAATAATTGTAAGGGAAAGGAATATAATTTTTAAAAAGGTAAATAAAAGACAAGTGGCACACGGTGCAGTTGCTCGCCACGTGCTGACCAATGCCTGAGCAGTGATCTGGCCCCCCGCCAGCTCCCCCCAGTTTCCATACTGGGCACAGTGCCCCATGGTCTGGACCAGGCCTTTGGCTAGTTGGGGTCAGCTCTCCTGGCCATGCTCCCTCCCAGCTTCTTGCACACCCCCTCGCTGCCAGAGCATGGGAAACTGAAACAGCCTTAACTTAGGATAAGCACTTCGAGGCAACAACTAAAACATCGGGGTGTTATCAACACGATTCTCACACCAAATCCAAAACACAGCACTGTACTGGCTACTAGGAAGAAAATTAACTCTATCTCAGCCAGAACCAGGACATTGTCTCATCTCATTGGCAACAAAACTCCCTTTTTTTTAATGGCCCCTTGTTCTGGCACTAATAAATGGTTTTGGTCAGTTGAAGAGCTGTGAAAGCCCCTTCCCTGTTGCTCACTCTGTCCTTCCTTGGTTCAAGGCTGGGCTGCCAGGTTTCTACGACCCCTGCGTGGGTGAGGAGAAGAGTTTGAAAGTGCTTTACCAGTTCCGAGGAGTTCTGCACCAAGTGATGTCGGCTGACAACGAGGCCCTTAGGATACCAAAGCAGTGTAAGTAGCGAGGAACGCCCCGCTGCCTCCTTCGGCACCAGGAAAGGATTGCTGCGGCCCTGGGGGTGGAGCGCTCGGAACTGGGGTTCTGAGGTTCGGGACTGGGGTTACTGAAACGGGCTGACCGTGATACGCCCCTGGAGCGTGGCTGGTGGGAGCTCGGCAGCGCCCCTGCGGCACCGCCTGACCTTACCGATCCGGTGGAGGCTGAGCAGAGGCCTCGCCAGGGAGGGGCCCCGCCAGGCAGGTCGCAGCACCGGATTGCCCCTTAGGAGTGAATTGCATTTACAGAGGCAAGTTGGGGGCCTGAGCCAGGTTTTTTCCCCGTCCCTATTTATCTGTGAAAACATTTCCCATGCCAACATAATTTTGTGAAGCTGGTGTCTGCTAGTGACAAGTTTCACTGGTGCCCTGGTAGGTCTGGGGGGCTGGCTAAGGGCACACACCTCGTGTTTACCCCAGCCTGGCTCCCTGGCCCAATTTAAGAAGCCAATCCAACTTGCAAAGCTTCCATAAGTGTGTTGGGGGGTGTATGAATGGCGTTTCATTGGCAGCCAGAAAGGTTCCTGCCTCCCCTGTGCGGGGTAGGTTCAGGGCGGGCTGCGTCCCCACTTCTCGCTCTCGCCCGGCAGCGCACAGGATCGATGCGGACGGTTAATCCGGAGAGCGGCCGCGCTCCGCTGCGGGACCCGGGCCAGCGCCTTCCCCGGACGCCGCCGCTTCCAACAGAGACTCTTTTATTTCTGCTCGCCGTGTGGCGGGTGGTGTCCTGCCAGTTCTGTTACGAGACAAAATGAGAGAACCTGCTCCTACAGGTGGCTCCAAGGCAATACTCTGAATTCCGGGTCGGTAACCAATAAAGCAGCGTGACTCTGACTGCGCGGTGCTTTCTGCTGCGGGGGCGCGAGCGGGCGCTAAGCACCCCCGTCCCGCGGCCCCAGCCCCTTCCCGTGCTCCCGTGTGTCTCTGCTGGCGCTGAGCGGGGAAGACGACCTCTTGTTCTCACTCCTCCACATACTTCTGGGGTAGGTAACAAACCTCCTTCTGCTCCTGAGAAGTTCAGTTCTCTGGCCACCTCCTGGAAGGCCTCTGTGTGAATCCTTTTGTTGGAAAGAGGACAGAGATTGTTTTCCATCTCAAATCTGTGTTTGGAACGTACTTGTTAAGAACAAGTAGGTTTGGAATGGAGTTCTTTGCCTTTTGTGGACCTCTTCAGCATGAATCCATCCAGCTGCTAATTTCAAACACCACTATTCCAGAGAAGGACACGGGGTTTAATAGTCGTCTTAAATTCTTCTGCCACCTAGAACCATGTGCTATCAAGGTTTTCAAGAAAAGAGGAAAGCAACTGGGGGAGAAGGACAGCAATTCATTTCATTTGATTCTGATGCTGCAACTACCTCTTCCCATCTTAATTTATTCCTAGGAAAAAGAGGAATGAGGTTTATCCAAATAAACCAGACCAAAGTGAGGAGATGCCAAATGGGTAAAGAGCTGAAAACGTAAAATTCAGGTGCCCTTTCTAAAAAGTGTCAGTTATGACGTAAACCCACTGGATTAATGTTGCCTGGAAGCCATTCCAGTGATTTTCCAGCGAAAAGGGCAGCCCCGTTCTAGTGACACAGCAGATGGAAACAGCAACCTTCTAGTATCTACTGCGCACGTCAACGCCACCGAGGCTTTTTCATAGAGAAAAACAGTAATTGTGGCTGTTCCTCAGTCACAGTCCTGCTCTTGGTGAGTCCTAGAACAGCCTTCCCTGCTTCCGTGTGAGACGGGGGGGGGGGGGGGG